TATATCTAATTATTTCTCAACTTAAAACTTACAGAATAATAATCAGAATACTTTTCAAAATTAAAATAATCAAAATTAGAATATTAATAATAATAATAATTAGCAAAATCAAAATATTCAAAATATTTATCAATAATTTAATAATTCTCAAAATATAGATACTATTTTTTTTCTTATTCAAATTCAAAATTTAATAATAGTATTACTATAAAATTATTTTATTAATGATTATAAATAAGATAAAATATAATATAAATAATTTTAATTTTATAACTTATAATTATTTTTATTATTTAAAATATTCAGATCTAAAGTTATTTTACAGAACAGAAAGATTTTATTTATAAGAACTTAATTCATATTTCTGAAGAATAAATAATCATAATTTAATAATTATAAATAATATAAATAATAATATAAATAATAAATAAAGAGAATAAATAAAAATATAAAGAATTATTAAAAAGAATATCTAATTAAAAATATTAATTAATTAAATTAATAATATAAATATATATAGTAATTATCTGTATGATAATATGCTAAATCTAATATATTAAATATATAATAATTATCTGTGTATTTAGAATAAAATTAATTTTCTTAAAAAGTAATACAAAAGCCAATTTGTTATACAAATAGTGCAAAATGAAGATCTAAGCTAAAGAAAAATAATCTAATCAAAATTATTATATAGAAATAAAAGAGTAGAATATTTATCATAATTATTTTTAATTAAAGATAAAATATTACTATCAAAAAATCTTTTTTCAAGTAAAAATAATCTGAAATTTTATAATATTAAAGAATAAGACTCTTTAATAAAGGAATTATAGATAAGTCAAATATTTTTATCTTGAATCTAACTATAAATATAATTTCAAGAGTAGAATGATTGAAAATATATTAATCTTATATTTCATAATAATTAAAGACTGATAAAATATAGCTAGATAAAATAATTTCTGATTTTGAGATAGATAAATTCAGAAAAATAATATTAGTACTAATAAAATTGATAATAATATGAATTATATTACTTAAAACTATATGATAATTAAAAGTAAAAAAGTTAGCTTTATTGAAATTAGAGAAATAATAAAAATATTATCTAAATATTTCTAATAAATGATAAATAAAACTATTATAAAGAGGAAAAGTATCTTTAAATACTACAAAAAAAAGATTTGCAATAATAAAACTAACAGAGAAATTTATAGTAACTTCTTTAATTTGTCAAAAAAAATTTATTAAATTTAATAATTAAATTTTTACAAATTCAAATTAATATATAAAAAAGATATAAATTAAATATAAAAATAGTTTAAAAAATAAAAAAAAAGTAATTGCAAAATGTAATACTAAAAAAATATATTGTAATTCTTTTTAAATAATATTATTACTTTTTATTTTTATCATCTTGATTAATTTATCTTATAATAAAGAATATATTATTATATAAAAAATAAATAACAAATTATAAAAGAAAGTATTATAACTAAATCTCTTTTAAAAAATAAATTAAAATTAATAAATTTTTATTTTTTGAAATTTATAATAAATAATATATAATTATTTATCTTGCTTAATAATAATAAGTTCAAACTTTTTGTATTATATTATATTTTAGTTATTATATTTTATATAATAACAACTTTTAACATTCTCAAATATTTACAATTATCTATCTTTTTAATATTAATATTTAAATTATTAATACTTTAATTTATAGTTTTTTATAATAATAATATATATATTTAGATAGTATTAACTAATTTTTATTATAATAAATAATATTAAAAATAAGTAAATTAAGCAAGTTATTTAGAATTAAAATTATTAAAATTATATTTATGGTATATGACAAAAACTTAACTATTTGCTAATTATATTAAATAATAAATAAATATCTTCAATTTTAACTTAATTTATACTATTTTTTACTGAATTAAAATTAAATAATAGATTTATCTACTATACTTATTAAATAAATTCTTGCAAAATTCATTATTAAAATAATATTAATTATTTATAAATAAAAGATATATAACTTATTATATTTTTAGAATGAAGTTATCTGTTCTGTATCTAAATTATCCAAACAGATCTTAATCCTATAGAAAGTTTATAGATTATTATTAAGAGTAATATTAAGAAATAAATATCTAAAAATTTAGATATTTTAAAGAAGTTTTTGATAAAAGAATATGATTCTATTCTAAAAATTATTTTAAATAAATTAAAAAATTTGATAAAATATTATTATAAGTTAGTTATTGAAAGTAAAGATTAATAAATCAATTTTTAAGTCTAATAAATTTATTCTATAACTTTTTTGCTTTTAAAAGATATATTAATCACTAAATTTAATATAATATTTATGAATTTATGATGAATTTAGCATAGTTAAGTTTTTTTGTCATATATCATATATAAAGTATTATATTTTTATATTAAATTCTAATTGATATACTTAATTAATTTATAATGAAAATGAGTTTATAATAAATTTATAAATTAAATTTATTAATTTATATTAATATAATTACATATTAAATAATAAAAGATTTTGAACTTTATTAAGTTTTACTTATTTCAAAGAAATTATACTAATATAAATATAGCTGAAAAATTATAATAATACTTAATTATTAATAAATTAATCTATAAATAAATATTACTGGTATTAAAAGCTTTTTTGAAAATTACAAATTACAAATTTCTTTTGTTATATATATATTATTTATTTAGTAATTTGTATTAAGATAAATATTAAAATTGATTCTTATAAATTTAAAAAGCTTTTTGATTTATCAAAGGATTTCTTATATTAATTTAAGTTATTGATATCAAATAACTTAATATACAATATTCTCAAAAGATTTTAAATTTAAAGCAAGTGATATAATTATTATATGATATAATACAAAAAGATAATAATAATCAAATTTGTAAAGATATAGATAAATTAATTATACTAAATTTAACAAGAAATGAATGAAAAATTATTAAAGAATTAGTAAATATTCTTTAATTATTTTAACAAGCTATAAAGTTTTTAAGTAATTCAACTTATTCAATACTATCAGTTCTTATCAATTATTAAAGAACTTTTTCATATACATATAATATAATACTTAATAACTTATTTATCACATAATTATTCAAATTCATGATATTATTTTGAAATTAATGAAAAAATATTGGGATGATTCTCAAGATCTTGGATTTTTGGCATCTTTATTAGATTCTTGTTTAAATTTTTATCTTTTATTTACACTTCAAAAAAAGCCCATGTAGTTAAATCTTATTAATGCTTTACAAAATTCTGAATTTTCTTTACAAACTATTATAGTTTTGATTGAATCATCTCCTATATTGCAATTTTTGAAAATTTTAGTATTTTTAGAACTCATACTAAAAACAGAATTTCTGGGTCGTTCTCCAACTGAAAAAAATGATCCAATTATTGATGGAAAGTTCATTATAAACGTTTCCGTAAGAAATTACCCATTACTATTTATCTATTTTTGCAAGTTCTGTTCCAGCTGAAAGATTTTTTCTAATGCAGATAATATTCTTACTAAAAAACGAAATCATCTTGATTCAAAAACCCTTTCAGATTTTTTATTTTTAAAAGAAAATTCAACTATTTTTACTGTTGTTCTAAATAAATATTTATATAAAATATAAATAGATATGATTTTGATAATGATAAGAAATTTATTTTAATAAAAAATAACTGTACCATATTAATAACTGGTTAAAGAATTATTACTGCAAAAAATGTTCGAATCAAATTCAATGTACATATGACGATAGAAATTATCTCATTTGTTTTATTATTACTAACATTCAAGCAATTTATGTCCATATATCGGATATAAACGCATTTTATATCGAACTCAAAGATGTAGTAAATGTGATTATCGTCAAGATGGATACCGATAATTTTATATTGATTTTGTTGATTGCGTAAAATAACACAAACGAATTGTCTAACAGAGCGGAGATAAAGAATGCAACAAATTTAATAAAAGGGATTATTCGAAAGGATCCCTTATGATAAATTTACCATCGCTATATATCTTGGAAAAGAAGGTTTTGGGACAATTTATAATGATTTTATATAATACGGAGAAGTTGAAATTTTTACACAATTCAAAGTAAATTACTCCGGAGTTTATCTATAAATGAGGTAAAAATGACCATGAAAGTTATTGATACAATCAAATTTTTCAGACTGCGCTTGAATGCAGTTATAATATTGAATATTATGGGATAACTAAAAATCCACCAACAAATGAATGCTTAATTAATAAATATAATAATTCCAACTACGAAATTGACTTGAGATCAAAATTAAGTTATTAACGTAATACATGTATTATCTTTGATCTGAAAAAAAGGATTGTGCATCGCGACTTTCATCCTGTAAATATATATTATTAATGCGTAATACATGTGCTTCTCAAATTGATTTTGAACTTAGCATTCAAGTAGACATATGTAAAGTACTTCTTTATATGAGTCCAGATGTGCTACTAAGCTGCAGAAATTTATAACTTTGGGAAGGTTGTGTACGAGGTTGCAACTGGTGAACGTCCATTTGGTATTACCTGCAAAGATGTTTATATAACTATAGTTATATATATATATATATAAGAAAAAAATATAAAAGGTGAAGATTTCGCAATTATTTTCAGTTCTACCATTCTTTAGGATATCCTAAAACAATGAAGGAATTGAAATATTGAGTGACTTGCATATAAATTGCGGATAACTGATCATAAACATGAACTAAAAATGATTTTCAATTTCTTTGTACATGTGTATCCTTGCATGTTCAGCAAAGAATTTTCCACGATACATTTACAGTTGCATGAAACATTAGTCGATCACGATCATAAAAAGACTAAAAAAAAGCGTTTTTGCGTCAATATATCTTTGCTCGCTAATAAATTTCTATCTTAAAAATAAGCAACGATAAAAATATAATAATGGTTGAGCCTATGGAGGGTGTTGAACCTGTTGGATCATCCCAACAAACGGATTTTAAACATTTTCAACCATTGATAACCGACCTTATAAAATACGCGGATAAAATTGGAGAATCTTTCGAAAATGCTGAACTTAATAAAAGAATTTGTAGTGTGCTATTTCAACGTATCAATACTGCTGCAGGTGAAGTGAAAATCTTACGACAACTAGAAGATGATTATAGTTGGTTTTTTAAAAATCGAGAGAATTATCCAAATTTTCAAGGATTGATTAAAGTGATTGAAAAAATCAGGAATTTTATCTTGGATGTTTCGCAGTTGCAAGGCGCTAATAAATTCTTTGATAAATATTGAAGTTCTGAATTTTCGATGGATAAAATATTTCATAATCTTATTAATGAATTCGAAAGGTACACAGATGCACTTAACAATTCATCCGAAGACCGTCTCGATTTTAGAAAATCGAAAGACACTCAAAAAAATAAAGACGAAGAAGCCATAAACATGGATATGCAGGATAGTGAAAATGTAATATAAGCTCTTTATTAGAATCAAATAGACACTCTCTCTAACTATTTATGCAAATTCTTGTTTAGTATATTAGAAAGATCGGTACAGATGGACAGAAGATTTTAGAAGAAATAAGTACTGTCGCTGCTCTAAATAAAGCTTTTCAGAGGAAAGAAAATTATCGATCTTTTTGATGAAAAAGAAGCAATTCTCAATATCCAAGATTTTAAAGCTGTTCCCGGACCAAGGAGAAAGAAAATGTCACAATATGAACGATACGATAATGTCAAAGTTGCATTCAAAGAAATTGAAATACATGCAATGAATCCAGACAGATTTAAAAAAGTGAAAAAAGAAGTCGCAACTTAAAAGATTAAGAGGAGCAGAGAATATACTCACATTTTACGGAATTGCAATTGATTCGAATATTGAGCACATTTATCTGGTAACCGAATGGGCTGAATCAACTTTGAAAGATTTCTATCAAATTCATCATTTAGATTGGAATCTACAACTTCAATTCGCTTTAGATATCTCTAGAGGATTAATTTATTTACAAACTGCCGAAATTCTACATCACGATATTCGCAGTCA